GCGCGCGCGTGTTGTGTGTGTGTGTGTGTGTGTGTGTGTGTGTGTGTGTGTGTGTGTGTGTATTTGCACAATTTAGAAACTAATATTATTCTATATAATGGTATAATATAAATACCAAATCATTTGATTCAATTATTTGGTATCTAAGATTTCTTTTCTAGCTCGTGACATTACATCAAGAGCATCTTTCTTTATAAGTTTCTTAGCCAAATCTTCACCAAGTAATTCTGCACCATAAAGACTTATACTGCTTATTTTATTGGCAATAACACTACAGTAAAGACGGGGTTCCTGATATGGACATTTTCTATAAGAAAAAAAAAATGTTATTTCCTATTGATAAAGTAGTATTGATATGTATAAAATTATACTAATCTTACTATTACATTTGTAAAAAATATTTAACTCACTTGGGAGGTTCATAATCGTCATCGGGTAAATACAATTTGCTTTTAGATGTATCTGTAATTAAAGTTTGACCATCTAGAGACCATACAGCACCGGTAATCGTCAACTCGTTCTTTTCTAAAGAGGAAGACACTGCAACTGGTGCGGAACATCCGCCACCAAGAGTTTTCAAAAATGAACGCTCAGATACGCATCGCAATGTGGTTTCTACATCGAGCAATGGTTCCAAGAGAGAACGTATTTTCCAATCTGACTCTCGACATTCGACGCCTAATGCACCTTGGCCGACAGCATAGAGAGCTTCCTCGGGCTCTAAAATCTAAAGAATATTCATATATTATATAATTCGTTTATAATCAAAACGGAATATGAAGTAAAGGATCGTACCTGGGTTATTCTGTCTTCCCAGCCCATCCTTTTTAAACCAGCAGCAGCTAATATTATCGCGGCGTAGGAACTATTTTCATCATCTAATTTTTTCAATCTAGTATTCAAATTCCCGCGAATGTTTTCTATCTTTAAATGAGGCATGTTCCGAGATAATTGCGCGGATCTACGTAAAGAACTAGTACCTATGACACTACCTTTGGGCAACGAGGATAATGTCTCATCTTTGAATTTCTTTGACATGACCACCGCATCACGTGGGTCCTCACGTCTATACAAATATATTATTTATCGATATTAATGAATATGAATATCCAATTTTTTATTCCAATAATTTTGTACATATTTATAAGATAAAAATATTGGAAAAAATTATACAAGGACATCCTGATATTATTGTATAATTAACATGTAATAATTAAATAATATTTAATAAATTATTTTAATAATATAATTTGTTAATAATTGTTGAAATTAATTAAAATTCTGATATGTTCAAGTTATAATTTTTCTGTAATTGATATTACATAACTTATGTTACAACATGATATCCTGACATGTTGTTTTTTTTTTTTTTTTTTAAAATGATAGCACGCGCAAGTGCATTTAAATTTCAAATGAAACCTCTGAAGCAATAAAACATATGCAAAATAATCAAGTCAGCTCTTGTTGACGAGCCACAAGGTAAAATATCCGAATGTAATTATTCAAGTACATTTTTATTATATTCCAATTGAAATAAAATAGCTAATTTCTTCGAAATAAAGAACTTTTCGACTAAATGAAAAAACAAACTTACTTTAATATCGCGCCGAGAGCCATTCCTGCAGGTAGTGTAGTTGGCAAATCTTTTAACGAGTGCACGACGAAATCAACGTTACCATTTTCTAAAGCTAATTCTAGTTCTTCAGTAAATAGAGACTTCTCACCAATCTTCGGTAAAGATTTGTCCAGAATTTTGTCTCCCTTAGTATTCATTGTTACTGCAATTTGATTACTATTTTAAAAAATGTTTCATATTTTATAAAAATTGCAATTCAATGTACATAAGCATATTCTTTTGCTGATAAATGCAATAACTCAAAAATATCTTATTATACAGTTGCAAGTTATGGAATGTACACAACAAAGAGCTGTACTTATCATATGAATATATTTCAAATGCATGACGCAATATTATAAGAGGGGAGAAAGTAAAAGATTATCATATATGATACCGAAAAAAATTGTAATATTGTATTTTTTAGATTTCTTCAATAAAACAAATTAAATAAAAAATTAATATAGGAGAAATGAGAATTAAACGCGGTAAATACACAAAAATTATAATTTACAAAATATAATATTAAAAATATATAGACAAGAAATAAAATCATTAAATTAAATAAAAATATAACAGATAACGAATAATGCATATCATTATATCAATACTTGCTTACCTATCTCAAATTCTTTTTTTGGATGAACTTCTTTCAGACATTGTATAACATGTTTAGTTTGTATCAAGGCCAACTAAAAGAGTTACAAAAATATATTAATTAAAATAGAAAAAGAAGTTTTTTCGCGAGATAAAAATCAAGTATCCAATGAAAATGATAATTATATGTATACGATAATTATAATAATAAAATATATGTGTAAAACCGTATAATTTGCTGTAAAGTGATATTTAAAATAAATAAGTAAATGGCATTTAGAAAAGAAGCACTATGCACATTCGTCATATTTCTTGAATGTGTATTAAGATTAAAAGTTGAATTATTATGACAAAGCAAAAAAAAATTAAAATGCTGAATAATTTTACGAGAGAATGATAGAAGTACTGATACGCGTAACAATGATTACGTAAAATTAATAAGGCTTGTGTTTGGAACATGATAAATGACTTGTATTTGAAGTCATTGGTAAGGAGGAGCAGGGATCATCTTTGACTTAATAATTGTATATTATTATGCGATACACAAGGCGAAGCTCGTGCGCTCTCGCAAGCATAGCGGAAATGGAAATTCGCCAGTCGGAATCGCCAGACGGAATCTCAAGGATCGTCGAAATTACCCAATCGCGCGATTTTCCCACTTTCCGCGAGAAAAAGCGTATCACGTGGAGAAGCGAAAGCGCGGAAGCCTACCTCACTTTTCCGAGATCCAACTCGGATTATATCATGCTTCTCCTCGCCGTTCATCGTCACGAGATGTTCTGAACCACCAGATATAGCTGAGCGTCGAATTTGGAAATGTAATCAGGTACGAGGCATTGAGATCGAGAAACAACGGAGGGAAAGGAGGGAGATAGAGATATTCTAATCAGGTCGAGGAAAAATGAACACTTTCACCGCAGCTGGGAATTCGTATTCGCCTTAACTTGAATTACTTTGAGTCGCGCTGCTCACGAGTGCGAGGAGGTAGAAGGATAGAAATGGAATGGGATTAATGTGCGTGAAGATAGAGTTATGTGTTTCACAGTCACTGGCACTGCAGCAGAATGTGAAATTGGTTAGGGAGGTTTTGGAAGAACGGTGGACATCACAACAGCACCATGGCGAACGCGTGGACTGAACGCGGTGCGGACTCTGTAAACTGACGAAGTGACGAGTCACTGTGACTGACTGTAACGAAACGGAGTAGAGAAGTGGGACGGCTTCGAGTGATACCACGTGTTTGCCAAGATGTCCGTCACGCGCGATCGACCGATAAAGGAAGAGTGCGATCAGCACAGTGAATATCATTATCGATTGTCGATATAAAGGAAGCAGAACTAAAATGTCGTACTAAAGTACTTTGTTGACGCTTGCACTTTTTGCACTCAAGACTTTCGTTTCTCCTCTTTCCGATGCGCAAATATGTATCTGTTTCATTTCAATCAATTTGTATTTGCTTCGTGTACAAAAAGTGTGGTTAATCAAAGGTGATTACCTCGACACGTGCTGGGATCACATTGCGATACAAATTGTGAGTCGTAGGTTGTAACCGATTGTAATCAGAGATTTGAGATTCAACATTCAACATGAAAGAGGAAATTAAAGATTTCTCGAGCTTAAAACTGAACTCTTGGCTTCTCGCGCAATGCGAATCTATGGGTAAATATTTTCTCTAAAAATATAATGCACGAATTATGCATATTATAAAGGATGCACGGTGATAGTGATTTCGGAATGATGGTACTGAATTTTCACAAAGTTGATGGCTTCATAATATCGCGCAGCTATTATTCATTTTAGGTTTAAAAAAACCAACTCCAATCCAACAGAATTGCATTCCTCGAATATTGATGGGCGAAGATTGCATAGGTTGTGCCAAGACAGGTAGTGGCAAGACTCTCGCATTCGCTCTGCCTATTTTGCAAAAGTTGTGTGAAGATCCGTACGGTATATTCGCTCTTGTCTTAACACCCACGAGAGAACTAGCTTTCCAGGTGAAAAATTTTATTTTTCTTTTCCTTGTTGCTGTGTATTATAGTATAAATCATCTTATATTCAATGGGATATATTACATTAGCCCATAAGTGATATAATAATTTTAGATATTTTAAAATAACATAGAATAAGTTTGTCTCTAAGTTGCAGTAAATACAATCAAAGAGTGTAAATTTTAATTGAAAGAACATAATTGAATAAAATAAGGAGCAATTATTCAATTAGAGTCTTTTCTTAGTCATTCTTACTTTCATTTAAATAAAAAGTTGGTTAATTTTGGGGTATTTATAATCGATATTAATCATTATTTTAGATTGCTGATCAGTTTGCTGCTATTGGCAAAGCTATCAACTTGAAGAAATGTGTAATTGTTGGTGGTATGGATATGATGGTTCAAGGATTGGAATTATCAAAACGACCGCATATAGTTGTCGCTACACCAGGTCGACTAGCAGATCATTTAGATAGTTGCGATACTTTTTCTTTACAGAAAATCAAATTTTTGGTATTGGACGAGGCAGATAGACTGCTCGGTGGTCATTTTGATGAACAACTTAAGAAAATATTTAGTGCATTACCTAAACAGAAACAAGTTTTGTTATTTAGCGCGACAATGACAGATGCTCTTGATAAAGTGAAGCAAATAGCCTCTGATAAGGTATATCTCGATAATGCAACTATATATTTTAATATAATCAATAGAGATATAAATTGCAATTTTCAAGGTTTTTCTATGGGAGGAGAAGGACGATGGTGGTATCGCGACTGTAAGGGAATTAGATCAGCGTTACGTGTTATGTCCCAAGGATGTACTCGATTCATACCTGGTAGAAGTAATTAGGACATTTCGTGCCACGAACAAAAACGGTTCTATTATGATATTCACTGACACTTGCAAGTATGTTGATATGTTGTTTTCGCCATGTAAAATAGGCTATAAAAGCAGTCACGAATTTAAACTTAATTATGTGTAATTACCTTGTTATATCTAGACACTGTCAATTATTATCGATGACGTTGAACGATGTGGGATTTACAAACGTGGCTCTTCACGCGATGATAAAACAGAAAGAACGTTTAGCAGCATTAAACAGGTTCAAGTCGGATCATGTACAGATACTAATTGCTACTGATGTTGCGGCAAGAGGTTTAGATATTCCTACAGTAGAACTGGTCATTAATCATGTAATACCGAATGTACCAAAGGAATACATTCATAGAGTTGGTAGGACAGCTCGTGCAGGTAGAAATGGTATGGCGATAAGCTTGATAACTCCACACGACATCAAATTATTGCACGCGATCGAAGACACCGTAGGCACTAAGTTAACGGAATATAAAGTAGACGGTAAGCATATCTTATTTTGAATTTTTATTTCTTTTTCGATAAGAATAATTTAAAAAATATATGTGATTGTACCTTAATATTTTAGATAAGAAAATCGTTACAATTCTGACACAAATATCAGTCGCGAAACGAGAAGCGGAAATCAGATTGGACGAGACTGATTTTTATGAAAAGAAAATGATTAATAAACGAAAAAAGTTAATTTTAGAAGGATATGAAAGTGACGAAACACAAGAGTTGGATAATATAAATGACATCAGAGAGAAAAGGAAAAAGCGTAAAGAGAGAAAGAAAAAGAGTTAATAAAAGAGAAAATAATCGAAAATAACCTAAAAAAATAAAATTATTAGAACATTTATAATAAAACATACAACATATAATATAATTATGCTTGTCGTATAATTTGTAATATGATAAATGATGTTATTGTTATCCTCTCATTCTATTTTTTTATCTCTAGTGACTTAAAAAAAATTTAAAAATGTATGTATCTTTCATCCATTATTTATATTTAAATAATAAATAACACACGTTCCACTACATTCCTTTAAAGATAAAATATATAAAAATATTCCTGATATATTTTTTGAAAAATGTATTTTTATTTCGCCAATTTTTTTGTGATTGCCCAATTTTGTATGCAAAAAATCTTTTGAAAGTTGAATATAATAAAAAATCATCTACTATGTATATATATATATATATATATATATATATATATATGTGTGTGTGTGTAATAATATATTATTAAATATAATTTATTATATATATAATATTAAATCTGATAGTAAAAATAGAATAGTATTGGGGAAACAGTATTGAGATAATTTTATAAATAATTTATATCTAATACAATCTGTATTTAAT